TTATGGAACCAATTTCTGAAGTCTACAGCATTAAGAACATGAGCAGAAAAAAACAACACATCCTGAAAGGCTTTTCAGTAACATATGATATTTCAAGTCAATACTATATATCTTGGGGAAATATGGAAGGGAAAACCTGAGCTTTGAAATTATAAAGTATGGACTGCATCAGGTGTGAAATGGAGAGCAAACTCCACAGGTTACTAAGGTATGGTCCCTACCCTTTGTCAATCAGTTTCACTCTTCTCCTTAATGATGTCAATTTGTACCATTAAATTTCCAGGCAAATGAAGAAAACAAAAGGCCAATACCTGCAATCATTCTGTGCCACCACCATACACAAGTACTATTCCCTACCATTCTCCATCAACCTTTGCCTGCTTGCTGTTATTGCTTTCCCAGCTTATCATATAAAACCTTCAGTCATGAGGGCAGCAGTAAGATCCTCAGAGATTATCCTGAGTTTCACTGTGAAGTCTGGCAGACAAAAGAGGATCAGAGGATGACAAAGATGCCACCCTGCAGAAACTGAAGAGGTCAGCTCCTTAACACACCCACAGTTTGCATTTGCCTGAGAATCAAGGCACTCTCCTTGTTCTTAGTGTAGAAGGAAAATTGCTATTGCAAACCAGACATTTATTACAGACTTCTTTAGATGAGGAAAAGGTAAGTTGTGCTCTTTGATCTGACAATTTCTCTTGCTAAAGGGTTAGAGAGGAGGGAGAAGAGAATTAAAAGGAATCAATGACACTTCAGAAGTTCTTGCAAAACCGGAAGATAATTCTCATCTCTAACCTTTACCCCCACATCTTTCACAGAGACTGTCTGGCCTTCTCGTTTTGACTCCTTGGCAATGTCTTCAGTAGATTCTTCATCCTTTAGTCTATGAACAATTGTCTGGACTGTCTTGACCATATTCTTCAGTTCATCAGGATATGGAGTTGGGTATCTCTTCAGATTGCCTTCCTGTGTGACAGAAAGCAATAATGTCCTACATTTAATTACATGCCATAACTAAAACATAAGCTTTAAAACAAATAATTAGGACAAACCACTAGGATCTCCACTTAGCTGTTCAACTCTACCTGCACTGATGCAGACTTGAGTTTATAAAGCCCAGACAGACTATGAATCACTTTCATTCCCCCTCCCACCAGGTGTCTATCGATTGCAAGCAAAGATTATGACAACTGTAATTCACCTAAAGAAAAGTGAGGATTAATCACTGTTTCCCCACAACTGCTCTCCGCAGCAGCACTAGCCAGGTGTCCTTCTACTCAGGCCCTACATTGCCTTGTATCAGCTAAGAGTTCTTCCCCTGTGCCCTGCTTAAAATGATCTGGCCAAAACCCACCCAAACAGAAAACATCCAAAAAATCCAAACCACAGTGTTTCATCCTGCTAGATACTCCTAACTAACAACTGGTGATTTATTCAGCAAAGGAAAATCCACAGCCAAAGTAAGGAAGAAGATAGCATTAAGGGGTGTGAGCAAGAGGGAGGGAAGCACCAAATACACAACAATACATTCAATACTAACCCGAGGTGGTGCCTCTCTCTCATCTTTGTCTTCATCACACTCAAATGCCACCTGAGCACGTTGTTTCCTCTGCTCCTCCCACAGGGATGGATTGAAACTTTCATTATCAGATATGAACATAACTAAAAAAAACAACAACCCCAAAGAAGCTCTTGTAAGAATAGGATACACCAAGAGAAATGAAAATACTCTTTTTCTTTCCCTGGCTGGGATTGGTGCCCTTTGTATATATTCTTAGGAGAGAAGAGACAAGCAGCACCATTAACTGAAGACTAGCTGCACTGCCACTGCTTTATGAGCTTGGCTGTGCTTTTATAGCAGCAAAATCCCTATTTGTAAAAGAAAAACCATATACCCAGCTGTACACTAATCTTCACAATCACACTTAAGAATTTTCAGCAGAAACATGCTGAGAAGTATTTTAACTTGTTTATACATGAAACTATGTATTCGTGTGCATATATATTAACATGTAAACTATACTTGTATAGCTTTACACAGCCAGACTTCAGTGGTCACATTAAGCAGGTGAATTCACTTGATTTCATTTAATGAAGATTTAAAAGTGAGGAGTAAGAATGACTTAGTGACAAAAACCTGCATTATTACTATCCCTGAAGAAAGAAACTTAAGGTAAAAGCATGACACTGCAGAAGTTATACAGTTGGCAGGAGCTTTACAAACAAGTAATTTTTGCTCAATTTTACAAAAAAACCAACTTTTAGGTACCCACTGTCTCTAGGTCTAGCCTGTCTCACTGTTACATCAGGTTCTACTTCAGCACGTCAAAGAGTCTAATTAATCTGCCACTACCACCCCAGCAAATGTATATCCTTCACTAGCAACACCAACACTGTACACATTAACCACTGCTACACCTGAAATAGAAAACCACTTAATTTTAGGGCTCAGTAAGAGCAATGGAATATTTGTTATTCTGCATTTACTAGGTAAACTTGTAATTTTAACACAGCGAAATCTAAGAGAATATTTTCAGGTATCACCAAAACTTCCTGACCAGAACCACAGAATTTGATAGAGTATTTTAAAAAAACAAATTTCTATAAACACTATTTAACCTTAAACCTTCCACTTGTAATTACCACCTCAGACAGGTATTCTGTCAGCTTAAGCCAAACGAGCCCTTCCCTTGTCTGCAGAAACAAACCCTGGCACCTGAGAAATAAGAAGTTCAGATGGAGAGAAACCTTCCAGGAACAACCTTGAACTTCACTGAACCTCCAAACAATTTTACAGTTCTCACATTCTATCTGAGGTATTGCAGCTTCATTAGAAGACACTGAAAGAGACGTGCAATTTACTGTTTTTGCTGGTATGTTTAATTATTCCTCTCTCAGTGCACTAGACACTTGTGCCATGGAACAACAACTGTTGCCACTTGTCAATTTTCAGTTATTTCCATCAACATATGCCCTTCTCCCCCGTTTCTGTTAAAGCACCACAAGCTCTTTCCTTTTATCTGCATGGCAACGAAAGTGGAGCAATAAAGAGACTGAACTCTCTTCCTCCAACTCCTGATGGGGTTACTGCTGGAATATCTGTTTTCCTAACTATTTCGCAAGTGTGCAGAAATAACTTTCTGCTAAGGTCTTAACATGTTGCTCCTAACCTTTTACAAAACAGTTCCAACTAAATGTGAGCAATAAGCTTTTTTTCTTGGACTGATTTGCTTTCATTTTAAAATAAACCACAGATTGCTATGTACTTCAGCAAAAATATGTACTTGGTAACAGAGGAAACATTTTGTGTGATATTTTGTTAGAACAGGCAGTTTGAAGGAGACACCTGCTAAAGGAGAGGCTCACCCTAAACCATTCAGCTCCACTGGAATGAAATAGGGTGTCAGACTGGGAAGTGGAAACCACCACAGAATATGATCCTGCCAGTCCATTCCTCACCTAGCTCACTGGAGCAGTTCCATCTAGAATTTACCAGTACCTAAACCTCATGAAGTTAGTGTTCTCATTCATCACACATAACTCACAGAATCACAGAATTTAGAGGGTGGAATGGACCTCACAGATCATCTAGTCCCAACCCCCTGCCCTGGGCAGGGACACCTCCTCACTAGATCAGGTTGCTCAAGGCTTTATCCAACCTGGCCTTGAACACTGCCAGGGCTGGGGCAGCCACAGCCACCCTGGGCAACCTGTTCCCATGTCCCACCACCCTTACAGTAAAAACCTCCTTCCTCACAAGTTTACTTCAGACTTGTATTTAAGGATTATTTAGTGAAAGCCATATTAGCAGGAAGTCTCTGCACTATTATTTTCCAAAGGGAGCATTCTGACATTTCAGAAATCCTTACCATCCTCAGTCCTTGGCTGCTGAGGGAACATGTAATTAGTCAGCACTGTTTTCTGTGTGTCAGGGTCAGCTTCCTTTTGAAGAGGGATAAGTGGTTTAGACTAGAAAGTAAATGAAAGAAGGATTTGTTATGAGAACATATATAAAACAGTAAATTGATGTATGTATCAGAGAGCAGGTCTGTCCCATGACTTTGAAGACTACTTTTCCTTGTATTAACCCATTTCTGCTCTGAATAATTTCCATGAAGTGATGTTATTAACATGTCTGACTTTGACTGATGACTGGCTTTGATTGAGGGCTGAAACTCAGTAACAGCTTCAGTGAAAAGCAAACTCTGGATAGTCAAAAAAGAGCCTAGTTTCTGGTTGGGACTTACTATTATCTCCAAAGTAGGCTGATCTGGAATGCACAGAGATATTTGGCCATTTGAAGGTGCAAACAAGCATATGAAAGGAAAAATTTGTACTTGTTTTTTTCATATTGACACCTGATTGAACATCTTCCAGCCATGACAGGACAGAGCAGGGGATCCTTGAAATTACTGAGAGTGAAAGTGCATATCAGAGACTAATGGATTTCTGACAGCTCTGTACACCATAAAGCCACTAAGAAAATCAGCATAGTACAGAGGTCTGTGATGCAAAGGAAAAACACAAGCTACAAGTGAATCACAGAATTTTAGGGGTTGGAATGGACATTAGAGATCATCTAGTCCCAACCCCCTGCCCTGGGCAGAGACATCTCCCACCAGAGCAGGTTGCTCTATTCAACCTGGCTTTGAACACTGCCAGGGTTGGGGCAGCCACAGCCTCCCTGGGCAACCTGTGCCAGTGTCTCACCACCCTCACAGGGGAAAACTTCCTAGTATCTAATCTGAACTTCCCTCTTTCAATTTACCCCCATTACTCTGTGTCCTATCATTGCAGTTCCTGAAGTGCCTGAGTTACTGCTTTATAGATTGAAACTCTGACAGTCACAGGGTTCAAAGGTGTGGCAAGAAACCCAGCTCAAAATAAGTCATGCCGAGTTTCCCCACTGGTATAGCTGTGAGAGCAACAGCATGTTACATGCTCAAGTACCTGCTTATCACTAACTCTCCTGTGTAAATAAGCCTGAAGTAAGACGAACAAAACCAACAAAAAAACCAACCCAACATCTGTTAAATTGGATTTCCTCACAACACAGAACTCTCCCAGAAGTCTCCAGAGACAGGAATGCTCAGTGTTGTTTATTTCAGGAGAACCAAAGCAGTAATGTCAGGAAGGTATTGATGTATACGCACAGTACTAGGTCTTGTTATTTAACACATGGATCTGTACTCGCCAGTTCCATCAGGAATGAAGTCAACAATCATCTATTTTTAATGTTAAAAGTTTTCACCTGATTGTCTGATAGCCACATAGCAGTGAGCTGCTGCAGTTTTGTGAAGGTATATGGCAAGTTCTTCAGTCTGTGAATTACAACAAGAATTTATGTCAGTACATTTGGCTATACTGTTAAGAGTGCTAAGAAACACTTCTGCATCAGCCTGTAAAATGTTTAAAAAGGACATTTACAAGTTAAATTAATAACATAAATTAATAACTATTGAGAGTTGAAAGTATGTAATTTAGATCAAAGGTATAACTGAAATGCAAAAAACCCAAGCAAACTAAAAACCTTTTTTCTGCAGCTTAAAAAAAGAAGTGACAATGTAACTCGAATTTAACTCCATTGAGTGACTTGAATACAATTTTGAAGACAATTAATGTGAATTAATAAACCTGAACCTTCAGCATTTTATCTGTCAATATACATAGATGCCAATCAAGAACTGCTACACTTGGAAGTTAAATTTTCTCCAGTGTACATGTGTGAGAAAGGGGCTGCCCTGGAAAAGGGAAGCTCTGGCATCAGAGGTCAAATCAAGCTGCAGGTGGAATATGGAGAAGTTGAACTGACAGACCAGGAGGGAGAGCCCAGTTAGACATTTCTCTCCCAATACATTTCAATTCTATAAACTAGGAGCTCCCAAAAGTTAAATGTTTAGTCCAATTTAATGACCAGCTCTAATAAAACACAACTCTTCCCCCTTCCCCAGAACACTGCACTGTGACACTGTTGGGTGCTCCACAGTCAACACAACTCTTACTGTATTTTTAAGTAAGAACCAAAAGTTTCATGCAAATAACCAAACTAATTCCCCAGAAAAACACAGGCTAACAATGGGTAATGTATTGAATGCACTTCAGTGCATGTGCCAAGCCATTAAAACAAAGGCAGCTTAACACAATGGAACTGCAAGATCCAGAACACAAGGACAACACATTAAATATATGGATCTCAGTCAGCTTCTGAGCTGTGCTCGAGATAAGCAGAGACAGCACAATGCGTTCATAACAATCCCTCTACATTATTGCTGCATTTTACACAACATCTACTTGAATAAAAGCATTCACAAACCTATTGTCACTCAGATTGATGACTTTTAATTTCTGCATATCACCCATTTCTTCAGGGAGGAATTCCAGCTTATTAGAATGCAGAAACAACACTGTTACATGCTTCCAGTTTCCAATCTGGGAAAAAAAACCCCAACAAAAACACCACAAAGAATTAAATCACCTTTGCAACATAAATATGCAAATTTTTACTGTTTTAAAACAATTACTATTGAAGCTATGTAGCCTGTAAAGCATAAGTCATTTATTCTTATCTACTAAACCTTTAAGTTTCTATACAGAACAAATTTCTAGTTGCTGCTGAAAAAAAACAACAATCAGTTTCATTATACGAAAACTTGCATATTTGTATCCATCCTCCTTTAAAAACATACACAAGGAAAATCCTCCCAGGAATAATTAATTTGTTATCCAGAAGTTGCACAGACTAAATAGTCTGAAACAAATCAGGAAATTCGTTTTAGTTTTGTAATTACATACATACCTCTGATGGCAGCTGTGTCAGAAAGTTATGATCTGCAGCAAATGTTCTGATGTTACAGAGCTGCCCAACAGATGAAGGCAAAGTTTCAATCTCATTGAAACTGCAGTCCAGTTCTTCTACTGATATTAACCTGCAGAAACCAAATAATTACAGCAGATTAATTAATCCAACAGTAATTAAACACTTAAAATTTAAATGAAGCTAACATCACTGTTAATTATTAACCTCAAATTTAGTTCAAAATCAACCTAAGGGAATTAAAATCCAAGAAAAATTCTTTAGTGATTGCCTTAAATGTGTTTTAGGGTAGGGTTTTTTGTAGGCTGATTGTGGGTTTTTTGGGTCTGTTTTGGGCTTCCTTGGTTGTTTTTATTTTTTAACATCTCCTTTACACTGTCCTCATCAGAGACCATTCAGTGGGAACAGGCTGGTCAGCAACACCAAATGTTTGTGCACTACATGAAAAGGTGCTAGTGTAAGGCACTGACAACAGTCAGAATGGGAGAGATCCCAGCCAAACTGGAGTTGGGTGCAGTTTCTGAACAAGAATTTCAAGTGTTAGAGACAGTGAACTAATAATCTGGAAGTGAAGCAGCATTTTGTAAGCTCTGACAGCAAAAGATAACCTACATTAATTACAACAGATGAAAAGAAATTGGAACAAGTTGTACATTTGTACAGCACTTAATTCTCAACCAATTATTTCTGCCATCATTTGCAAGTTTTAAATTAAAATGCTGAACACCAAATTAGATACTAAAAAACCTGCTGATGAACAGGTGAAATTTCTCCTTATAATACAGAAACGATAAATACATGTTCAGCTTTACTTTTCACAAGATTTTTGATAGATTAACTGCATTAAGTGAGGAACATGTGTCTTTTGGTGTTGAATAATAAGAACACAAATGCTGCAAAGCAGAAGATAAGAAAACACCTGCTCTCAATTTTATTGAGACATTAACATGTGAAGAAATTAAATCAAGGAGTTATAAAAACTTCCAAAAGAGAAGCCATTCTTACAGAGATGTGTTCAGAAAGGCAATGCAGCTTCTCATTCAGGTGAAGTACCTACCCTCCTATGGAGTCTGGCAAATAAATTAACTGGTTTTCATCAATTTTAAGGGTTGTCACCTTCTTCAGGGAACCTGCAATGATACGAACAAGTAAATAAAAAAGGACATTTGAGCTCATTGAGCTGAGTTTTAGCTTGAAGTTAATGGGGGGGAAAACCCCCTCCCTCACTATGGGCAAGCAACCACATCTTCTCTACTCCCTGTTATGCCTATGGTGCTGTGCTCCTAAGGAAGTAAGTACATGAGCTTAGAGAACTTGTTTGCCAGTTTAAAATGTGTCAGACATTGGGCCAGGGGTAAAGAATAGTGGTGTTCTTCTGATACAGAGAACAGTTTCTCATCCATTTACAAATGACTGTATAAAGTCAAGAGTGCTACAAAACAACGATAAGCTTTATTCAGCCATTATTACTGCAATGTCACCCTTACAGCTTTATATGACACTTTTAATCCATGCAAAAACAAAGAAAAAAATGGCCTTTTTTTCCTACTTCCAAGTGTTCTGAGGCTTTTAAGAACATGAGTTAACTGAAGATACAAACCAATAGTCTCTGGCAGTTGCTGGAGTGAGTTGCTGGATAGCAGTAGGTCTTGCAGGCTTTCGCAACCTGAAATACCTTCTTCAACTACTTCAATGTTGTTTTTAGAAACATCCAAGTAGGTCAGTTGTTTCAAAGTGCCTATGAACTAGAAGCAGGAGAAAATAATTCATTCTAGAATGCGCAAGTTCAAAACAAAAAATCCAGCAGATGTGACAACAAACTGTCTCTCAAGTGCAACGCCAGGGGAAAACACTTATTTATAGTGCTGAAATACAGCAAAATGCAAAATATCTAAGCTTGATAATGAAACATTTTGCACAGATAAGCACAGCTGATGTTTTTACGCACACACCGCAGTAACTCTGGATGCCTCTACAGTGAGTCTGCTGCACATTCAGTGGTTTCATCAGTTACCCTGAATCAAGTAACTGAGGCTTTAGAACAGACTTCAGAACGAGACAGACAATGTAAGGACATCATTATGCTCCAGTAAGCACTTTAAATGCTTATTTTTGCCTTTTGTGTGAAACTGCATCCTACTTAACCTCAAGAACAACAACAATGAATCCCTAACTGTACCACACTGAAGAGAGAAGCCAAAATATAACCTTTTATTATTTTTCCATATGGACCAAGCATGGGCTTGAAGATAAATGCACACTACTAAATTCTTCACAGGGAAGATGCAGTCACTTTCAGAAGCAGTTTTATTTTACTCTAAAACACACATGTTCAGTATGTGTTTTACACATACTGAACCACTCATGACTCTTCAATAAAGAGCTAGTTGAAGTAAGGAAAAACAGTAGAGAAGAGTACTGGTCAGGCAAGAAGGCCTCACATGACAGGACTGCTGGTGATTTCAAGGCTGAAAACAGGACAGCTCTTCCCAGATCTCAAATACTCGTTTACTGGCTTACTACAACATAAGCACAGGTTCTCAAGTGCTGCAGTAACAGGTCAGCCTGGGCAACATGTGTTCCTGAGAGATGTCAGGAACCCAAAGTCAACAGAACATTTTCTCAGGAACTGGCTGTGCTCCCTGTTTACACAGCAGCGAAACTGGCACTGCTTGCATCTCAGCCAGCAAAAAGTCACACAAGCCATT